TGTTGGATCTCTTCTGCAACGGCAAGTCTTAACAAATGTCTTTTAAACTAATATTTCAGGAATAATGGATATAATCACTTTCACTTACAGACAAATATTTTAACAAACTGATATTCATATAACTATCACGTGTATTTTTGAGACGCTTTGTAAAGAGACACCACAGTAGCCTCACCTATCTCACCCAGTACTGTCAAAGATGGTTAGACTCTAATCTTCTACGTTGAATATCGTCATATGGCCACGTTTATATTTCCTGGTATATCTTATTCACTGTCTTCGTTTTGCGGCCTGTCATCACATATATGAAGGTTTGAAAGTGGTTGATCTAAGCTAATCACCGGATGTCGAGATCCATTTATTGTAAATGGTTAACCATGATTCCATAACTTTGGTGCACTTTAGCTCCAGAATTCAAAATTGTAGAGAGCCGTAGGAATCTGTCCTGGCCATCAGCAACCATAGTAACTCAGATCCTTATGCTGCTACTTGCATCAAATTTCAGTATTAAACTCGGTGTGTGATCCCTTAGGACACCCATCTGCTTCTCTTTGGGCTAGCGGGTAGTATCTCAGCCTCCACATATTCTTTTTTATTCCTTCACGTTCCCAGTGGAACATAGTGCTTCAAGCTAGAGACTTGAAGTTTATGTGGCAGTGATGTTTATTTTTACGCGATGGAGTTGCTAGCTCACGCCCAACATTCCCTCTTTACCAGTCTTATTACTGGCTTAGTGAGGTAAAGGAGTGAGTCGACCGGGATTCGAAACCTCGAGCATTCCACCGCTGTGCCATACATAATCATGGAAAATAAACCAATAAATAACTATAATCGTTTATTTACAATCAATACTCTTCATTCCAGTATTCTTCAAATACTTTGGAATTTCCGTTCAAACAGACAACAACCACTTGCTATGACATGGCTTTTGATTGTCAACGTTTGGAAATTCGTTGTCCATATCGAACTGCAAATCAGTGAAATTCTCTTCAACAGCCGATCGTATCAACACTTTCTGGTTTATTCAAAGCGTGTTTGAACCTCCAGTGAATATTCAGCTGTCAGGACTAATAAATGCCTGAAACCTACTTTAGTTAATAATCTGTAAACTGTAACCAGCTATTCTGATTTATTATTAGTGATATTATTCTTTTCTAAATAAATGGCTCCACTTCATTCATTCCACATTTTGATTATTTCATAATGAAATGTTCGCCTCAGTCCGGTTGTGTTCTGTTTAATTCGTACAGTTTTTGTCACCAGAACAGATTCGGTTATGGACCTTTAAGATGACTAATTTCAGCAGTGGCACTAAAATTACTGTAGCGGTAGATGCTGACCTTCAATTCTCTGAATGTGGAATACTTGTAAAATGAAACAAGACCGCCGATTTGGCATTTCACTCAGAGATTAATTACTTTAACTTAAAAGATAAGGACTTCTAACAGATATGTGACTCAGCCGAGCGTACCAAAATATGCCTCGGTGATATTTGTTCATAAAATTAAGCGATCGATCGCTACCGAGGAGAAGAGGTCTTCCAAGAACACGAAGATGTGGAACCTTGTAATTCCTAAGTGACTTTTGTTTTCATTGTAGTTTTGAGGAAATACAAAAAGTTTCTACCAGCAAGTCAATGCTGATAGACAGGCCGCAGTGGACACTGTCATTGCATCCATTCAACGGTGGTTCCACAACATTCGTGAGAGACTGAAAGCAAGGATAAGGAAATGACGACGGTCCCCATTGGTGTGTTTCCATTTTTCATTTCACTTTTTTCAGACCACCGTTAATCGTGAAAAGGAGAATATGGAGTATGTAGAGAGTAGAAGACTGAATACTTCATTTGATTCAAGTGGTTTTTAAATTGTTTGTAGTGTTCCATCACCGCAAATATATTTTGCATTAATAGTTAACATATGTTTTCTAAAATTCAGCTGCTTTCTAATATCATGATTCCTGGGGTTGACAGAAGGATGTTGTTTGTTGCGACAAGCTGTTGACATAATAGCTGTGTCATACGTGTTGCTACAGACTTAGCGTCCACTGCATGATGTAGGCGAATAGTTGCATCTTTGGGGCAGATTGGAGATAACTGTCCCACTTTCTGCAATGCGCCCGAAGATTTTGCCCCGAAACTCCAGCAGTGCGCCTGAAGAAAATGCTGGCTGGGATCGTTATATGTACAAAAGGGCTGTTGTGAATACGACCCATTACTCGAGAATAGTCTCGCTTATCATTTGTCTTCTACAACATGTTCCCTAATAAGCCTAGATAGTTGTCCCGTAATGCTTACCACCGACGCCTTTTTCCCCCTCTTTGGCTTTCGTTGCTCACCACTGTGCACGGTCGTAGCGGAGACTTTTAGTCAGCTTGCTTTTCAGCATCAGAAATCTTGTGGCACTTACTGGTATTTGATTTTATATTGTCAACAGCCTTAACCACAGTTTCTAAAGCAGACGAGTTATTATGTTAAAGCTTCCTCTGGATGAGTCTTTTCATCATTCTTGGACACTCATTTGGCTATCACTCTTCTTAACAAAGACTAAGTGTTTTCATCAAGTTGAAGGCGTGGAGGCTTCATAGCTACCTGTTTCTATTTCCGTTCATTTGTAGACATCTATGTAGGTGAACTAGTGCTTGATCAGACTCTGGACAAGGGTTTCAGAAGGCGTGGCAGTCTTCTACTCTTCCTCTCCATCGAGTGCTTATAGCTGCGCGATCTGTTTCAGTCCATCGTTGATTTGATTGTGGAGCTCGCCAGGTTAAGCAGTTTGTCAGCGCATCTCATTTTTCTCATGGATCCTTAGAAACAGACAAACTATACACCACTGTTCACTTGAGTTCATCCAATTTTCCACTTTGCCACTCTAAAACTAGTGGATGATTCGTTTGACATTCTTAAGGTGAATTTTATAGATTCACTATGTTGGGCAGGTGGGTCCAAGTGAATAACCAAACTTGGTGCTTGAATATGCGTCTCCGAAACACAACACAAATGCGTAGAGTAAGAATACGGAGTCCTAGCTAGTGAAGCCTGTTGTCTGATTTGAAAGAGAGTCCTGATGTCGAATGCTTTAATAGGAAATAGGCAGTGTGTTGTCAAATTGCATAGAATGGCAGTCAAGCCTCTCTCTACCTCAACTTCATCGACTTTGGAAGCACCTTCGACAGCATTGAGACTGCGAAGTAATTTGGAAATTAGTTCAACACTATGGCGTGCAATGCCCAAATCTTTATCAAACTCACTCAACAGCTGGTTGGCTATATGACAATGCGAGGTGTCAGGTGATCCACAACGGAAAACTCAGCGAAGCTTTCGAAGTGAACACAGGAGTAATACAGGGCTGCTCACCACTATCACCCATGTTATTCCTAATTGTAGTGGACTGGATTATGTGTCAGACTGTGCGTTGGGAGTGAGGAGACAGGAATACGCTGCCATGATCGATAATAAGACTCGAGATCTGGATTTCGTGAGTGGATGATGTATGTCTAATATCACACATACTCGAAGACTTGCTGGCAGGCGAAAACCAACAAACTGGCTGGCTGAAGAAGCAGCCAGTGAGGAAAGGACTCCAGGTGAATGTAGAGGAGACGGAGGTGATGGAGATTACCGACCAACCAACAGTGACACTAATCAGCTCCAGTCACCACCTAAGGGAGGGATTTGACAGAGGTTACCTCCTTCACTTGTCTAGGCAGTCAGCATCGTTTCAACCACAGCCAGTCAGAATGGGAAAGGCAGGATACGCCTTCATCAATCTGAAACCAGTTTGGAATTGTTCTGCACCCAGCATAAAGAACAAGACTCGGATATTCAACACGAATGTGAAGTCAGTCAGTTCTTCCATACGGTTCACAAACTTGCACTGCGTGTCACGAAAAGGATCTCCAACAAGTTTCGGAATCTTATCAACAGCTACCTTCGCTGGCTGGCTTCATACTGAAGATCAAATGGCCAGCCGGCCAGAAAGAAATAGCAACAAGAAACTCTGGCTGAGAACAAAACAACCAAGAGCCGACTGCTCAACAAATATGTATGAGAAAATGGAGATGGATAGATCAGGTATACGCTTAAGAGTACCATTCACCGTGAATGTTCTTTGGACTAGATGATGGTCTGAGCCCACATCTGCTCCCCTTCTCGACGTCGTGTCCTACAGGATGGCTGCATCTCCACTCTCTTGAGCAACACTGAAATGACAGACAAATATTTCAACGTAGGACCTCCTATCTCGGGCATAATAACAAAAGCAGTTAAGCAGTGACACCAGACTTTCATTTTACGAATAATCAAACCGAGAATTCGCACTAGCTGTGGAGAGGGTAAAATTCCATAATAATCCCAGACTCTGCATTCAGAAATTCGCCATTACTAAACGTACAGTAGATCTGATCTGTTTGAACACCAGATACCTTATTACTCTCTTACCCCTTATTATCACTCCTGTTCTATTTTAACCGGATTCTACGCAATCTCGTCAATTATATTACATCACTCAATTAACTTATTTAATTTTGTTTTAATTTCTACCCGATTAACACTTTTCATATTACGTAATTTGTTATATAAAAAACTCATAATTCTAATGACATATCTCTTGAAATATTCGTTTTGTTCCTGAGAAAAATTAATATATGTGTGCGATTGTACAGCTTGAGAATGATGTCACTATAAAGAGAAACTCTTCACTCAATATTTCATCCGTTTACTCTTTAACTCAGCTGGTCTAAAACTTGTTAAGTAAATCCTCTAGGATGTCATTTCGGATAACTATCTTATCGCGCATAACTTCGATGGTCATCGGTCACAGTAGCATAGAGAAAAAGGACACGTACTATAATTGTACATGATTAAGGTACAATATTGTCGACAGGCATACATATATATCACTTAATAAAGTGAACGAAGCAGTTGAAAAGTTGCAATTATTTTACGCCTTCATCAACCTTCTTATTATATATAAAGCTAACTCAGTGAAAAAGACATTTATAGTGAAACTTTAGATTTTGCTTCTGCACAAGTATGCAATACAAACAACAACAAAAATAAGGGAAAAATAAAGGTGATCTCAACACAGCAGTTAGTTATTCTTTCTGACAGTAATGGTATTATTCTGTGAACTTTTCATTTTGGTCTACTTGAGCTCCGTAACATCTGTATATGAAGTTATGTCAATTGATTCCTTTTGAATAAAAGATGTAATCAAACTGATGACTGTATTTGGAGCATCAAAGTGAATCCAGTGACCAGTATTAGCTATTTGAAGAATTTGCGCTCGAGGGAAGTATTTACGTATAGCAGGTACGTCTGAAGCTCTAAATATTTTAGTGGAAAACGATGAAAAGTTTTTTTAAAAAAGAAACAGTACATATATACTAAAAATAAACATATTACATAATGTAGGACATATAAAATCCTTTTAATTACAAATGTACCACCAATTATTTTCTTTACTGAACATCCTATGATGGCGACCAAAATACACCTAAACCGAATCAGATAATTCAGGGGAAAAGAAGAAAACTGGTATTTGCACTACATATTTGGTATCATTGATGATGTAGTTTTATACAGCCTCAAACATTCAACTAAGAGTATCACTAGATGGAGAAAATGAATATTATGATTTCAATGCAGAACTTTGCACTGAAGAGCAGCAGCAGTTTGAGTGCCACACTTTATGTACCACACAAAGGCAGACAAAAGAGATTCTGAAATGTGAGGGAGAAATAGTTTTGTGGGGAAACAATAGGGTTTTATTGGATATGGCTGATCACAAAGAGTGAATGCATCTGCGCCATTGAGAAAGATTTTGAGCCATATCACCGTTCACTGTTTCTTAGCATCCCGAGGACCGCGATCAGGTAGTTTACACCCTCGTATGTGGCTCAGACCAAATGTCAAACATTCCATGAACTGATACCAGGATTTCGTTTGAGTAGGGGATGCATTTAAATAAGCAGTCTACAGATTATTAGCTCGCTTTTTATCGACTGTCCATTTCGCATTGTTTCAGTAACTGGAGAAACGTATTTCTGCAAGAGTTCCTAAGCTATTCTCTATCTGCAAGGAGTTTTCAAAGTGGTAGTTCAAGGCCACGATTTTAAAGGAGTTTGAGAGCAAATAGCTACGAACTTTGGCTTATCGGCGCTTCAGTTTAGTTATGATCTTTCCATTTCCATAGATATAAGCTTTAAAGTGCAACAGTTTAAACTGTTACATTTAGCAGAAGTAAGCAAACAACTGTTTTTGTCGTATTCGAATTCATTAAGGGGAGTACTACTACTATTACTACTACTACTACTACTACTACTACTACTACTACTACTACTACTACTACTACTACTACTACTACTACTACTACTACAATAAGTTCCTTAAATAATCATCTGTGTACTAGTTCTGCTCCTCTTTATCTAACTTTTAATATTCTCCGCTTAAATAAAAAGTAATCTGAAGTATGTAACAAACATCGCAACAACCTCAATCTTTGAAAACTGAAAACTTATTTTTCTACATGGTAAATGACGCTTGTCCAACTGCTACACTAAGAAAATAGTACTCCCTAAAGCCTTATCACAATGTAGTTGTTCATTTGAAAAAAGTGGTTGATGTATAAATAAATGTACCGAGAACTAGTGCCATTTCATGAATAAACATCAGCCAACGTAATGATAAATTTGCAATTCTTATAAAACTTAAAATGAAATTCTTTGGAGCTATTCGATTGATTTCAAGGTAGATTTTTTCACAAACCAAGATCAGTTAGAGAAGAGCTGATGTTGATTTCTGACGGATTATTTCTTGAAATCAATCAAAAGCCTGAAACCCAATACTTCGAAAATAATCAACTGATCTCTGTGACTGACTACGGGACGGACTCTCAGTAGTTATAGTGACCCGTGGGTCCTTAAGATAGGGGCAGACATTCATCAATGCATTAGATTATGGTAGCGCTATACCCTGCAAATTGACAGAAGGCAGAATTCAAAGGTTATTACATTTTCACCCGGTCAACAGACTCGCCTCGTAATCTGAAGGTCTTGAGTTCTATCTTAGGTGGGATTGTGGATGCTCAGTGCTGAAATTTCGAACCAGAACAAATAGCTGTCTCTGTTTTTCAATGGTTTTCTAACTGATATCGGTTTGCACTAAAATATATCTTGAAAATTACTCGAATTCACCCATCAACTTTTCAATTTAATCGTCTACACTGAACTTCACAATGAAAGCATTGCCCCCAATTGATACTGATGCTTTTATCCCATAGACGAACTTGCCTCTAAATATATATTTCTAGCCCTCTATGAGCCAGCATTTAGACATTCAAAAATGTTTATTTAGTCTGGTTTCTAGTGAGGCTTAATATAAATAATTAACCAGGTACACGTCATTTTATCATTTATTTTTTCAACGGTTTGTCGAGTTTCTCTAATATGTAGTTAATCAGACTGAAAATCGAGCTGTGGCTCATTGATTTCGGTGCTCAATTTTCAACCAGGATATATGTAGATAATATCTTCCTACAAATATATATCCAAAAAGCTTCTATGATTGGTATAATCGAAAGCATTTTTTCGCAACATGCATTGGTAATTTATTTCTAATAAACGGACATATCCTACAATATACCAATGGTTTAGCGACATATTCCTTATATCCTGTTCAAACAATCTATACTTCTTTGAAATTATTTGTTAAATAACTACTTCTAAGAAATCTTACGATAAGTAGTCTCCCTTGCTTGCAGCAAGGAACAATGTAGGCCGGTCAAACACGCAACCATTCAATTCTTTTTCAGGGAAGCTTTTTATTTGTTGCCAACAATTTTTAATTGCATTAAGATTCACTCTCCAAAATACTTTTCTATCTTTAACTTCGAGATTTGTAAGGAGAAAGGCACGCATTGTGAAGTCCTACAAAACAAAATAATAAGAGGTAAAACACTAGAAAACGATTTTTCTCTGGCATGAAAGCCAGTAGGAACAACAATCAAAGAAAAAATTCTAAGTACAACTCTAAGATGAACAAATGCATTACAACGTTATATGTAAATTGAATAAGTAAAGTAGAGAGATCTCTAAGTTACTATTTCTGTAAGTTTTAGCAGTTGATGTATTCATAATTCACGTAATAAATGACGACCGAAAGTGAAAGCATAATCTTATCACTACTTACTTACTTTACTTCGGCTATCTCCTACGGGAGGATGAGCCGGCTTCATGAACATCTCGAATCATCGCTGCCCAGGCGCGGCGATCTGATGCAAGGTTTTGCGACAGGGTTATCCAATTCTTGTTCCACAGACGGAGTCCGTAGACGGTTTGTAGCCCCAGGCACTCCATATCAGCCTTGACTGTACCAAGCCATGTTTTCAGCTGTCCACCCCTGCGACATCGCCAAGATGGTAATGGCGAGGGATTTAGAACTGATTTGACCAGATCGTCATCTGGTCGGCGCAGAACATGGCCAAACCACCGAAGGCGACGTTGTTGGACCAGTACTGGAATTTGGTTGATGTTGTAGCAACGACGACGCACTTCTTCGTTGGAGAGTTTGTCCTGCCAACGAACATGCAGAATGTACCTGAGGCACCAATGGTCTACTACCTCGAGTCTGCGTACATCTTCCGCGCGAAGAGGCCAGGTTTCACAGCCATACAGGAGAACGGATCGTATGGAGGCTTGGTAGACCCGAATTTTAGTCCTGAGACTGATTTCCCTCTTGCTCCATAGAACGCTCCTCAGCTGTAGAAACGCATTCCGGGCGTTGGAGATTCGCGCATTCACTTCGTTTTTCGCTTGACCGTTGGGAAGCATTATGGATCCCAGATATCTGAAGGATGGCACAATTTCAATAGGTGCTCCATTCAGGTATAAGATTTCATCATTGCTGGTGGATGTGTTCGAAAACATTTTGGTTTTGGAAGTGTTAATTTCCAAACCGATAGTAGACGCGAGGTGGTTTATCTGATCGAGCGCCTGTTGCATATCGGGGAAGTTTTCAGCTAATAACACGACGTCGTCGGCGAATTCGAGGTCGGTTATGTGAATATCGGGCGAAAGTTGGACGCCGTGGTGCTCGGTTAGGGCGTGCCGCAAAATCCAATCAATTGTGAAATTGAACAGGATGAGGGATGCTGGACAACCTTGCCGGACACCGCTGGTTACCTCAAAAGTGCGAGACTCTTCACCGTTCACTCGGACTCGAGCTTTGGTGTTGGAGTAGTATGACCTGAGCAGGTTGATTAGCTTGGTCGGAACTCCGTCGAGCTCCATTAGATACCAGAGTGCTCCTCGATCAACTGAGTCGAATGCCGCTCGGAAGTCGATGAAGCAAGCAACCGTCGGCTGTTGGAATTTGTCCCTGTGTTCCAAAATTCTTCGCAGTGTGAATAATTGATCAACACAGCCTCTTCCAGGTCGAAATCCGGCTTGATTTGGCCTTGTTCGCACGTGGCGTTCGGCAGCGAAGCGGTTCAGGAGAATGGAAACAAAAACCTTAGCAGCGATATCAATCAGACTTATGCCTCGGTAGTTCTCGCATAGTGACCTGTCTCCCTTTTTGTGGAACGGTAGCAGAACTGAGGTGCTCCAATCGGAAGGAATGGTTTCGGAATCCCAAATTGAGCAGAACAGCGAGTGCAGCGAATCGATTAGCGCTGGAGTGCAGGCCTTGTATATTTCTGGAGGTAGACCATCTTCGCCCGGAGCTTTTTTGTTTCTGAGTCTGTTAATTGTTTTAGCTATTTCGGTTGGAGTGGGTGGATCGCAGTCAACTACGTAGGGTGTTGGTAAGTGTCGTATCGGTCGATGGTCGATCGGTTGACCAGCGTTGCGATTGAGTAGCTGCTTGAAATGTTCGGCCCATCGTTCCATCTTACCATTGGTGTCCGAAATAATTTCTCCTGATGCTGTGCGTAACACAGCATGGCTGTTAAGGCGTTTGCCAGATGATAGGCGTATGAGGCGATAAAGTTTTCCGAAATCGCCTACATTTGATGCTGCTTCCATGTTAGTCGCCACATTAGACCAATAGCGATTTCTGTCATTCCTAGCAGACTGTGTAGCTTTGCGCCTGAGGGAGCGATAAACTGGAGACTTTGCTAGGCGAGCGTCTCTGGCTTGCGAGGACCAAGACTTTCTTTTCACGTTTAATAATCAGTAGCAGTGTCCCTATCTGAGGAAGCCCTAGATAATCTCAACATCAATAATCGTACTTGCCTAAAAACAACAAGGGGAAGTTAAACAATAAGAGCCACGCCGGTACATGACTTTCGGAGATCAATTAGATTTACAGGTGGTATAAACATATCAAATTATAACGAGTTTCAGTGATATTGAGTGATGGATTACTGTGTGAATAATGGATTACTTGAAGTTACTTAAACACATACACGGAGGACAACTATTCTTTGGAAGATTGGGATTGAGGTGTATACTAGATAAGAGAATTAGAAACATGAACAGATCTATAGTCATCTTTTAGAGACTTTGAGGACTTTATTACTCCTTAACTTTGAGTAGTTGTTTAAGGTCAGTAACAGTATGTATGTAGACGGCTGATATAGTTTAAATTAGCCACTAACAACCTTAAAGTAAACTAAGGTTTTATTAGGACAATAGATATTCACAGAAGAGTGACCTGAGTGGCTCATCTTCAAGTTTTATAATTGCAAATACATTACATTTGCTTATCAAAAAAACAGATAGAAGTATTTTAACAAAAATTCAGTACTGACTAAAACTCAGGTCCCAAAATAATTACGTGACTTGAAAACAGCAACTGCATAAAGATTGATGAGAACTAAAGCACGATTAATTGAATAAATTGATGGATATAATATTTGAAAGGATCAAGGGCAATTCTACAATAATGTATAAGGATTACCAGTTAAACAGAGATTGTGAATAAAATGATTTTAAGCTCAAAAATATTTATACACTAATTACATTGTTGACCCAACGGGGAGAACTTTTGGACGAAGATTTCATGCTGTAAAATATCATCTCCCCCAGTTCTACAGTTTGTTCGGCATAGCGGTTTTCGATCACAAAAATGTTTAAATACTTAATTAATCCTCGACTGTGTTGGAAGCGTAGATGTACAAAACCTTATGGCAACACTACATTTTTTGAAATTCTAAAGTACATTTAAAATAGATACGAAAGACACTACAATAAAAGTCAGAGTCAAGAACCGCCACAAGAAGTGAGTAAAGGATGATAGCAATTTACGAGAAGCGGAAAGTTTGGTAAGAATTTTTGAAACTTCAGAAATGGTTGTAATTGAATACATTTGCTTCACTGTGATTTCTTCCGGGCTTCTTGACTGCCTAAACCACACAACTTAAACTTCACCACGTGACTCAGTTTCTAAAGTGATAAAAAAACTATGCTTTCGTACAACAGAAATAAGAAACAAACTGAAAATGGATATGACAGACACAATGGAAAACACCATACCTTAAAATGTATATCTATTGGTAAAAAAGGCAGGAAGCATGGATAAAGACATTACTGCCTTGGAACCCGGAATGCACCTCGACTAATAAAACAATTCATTTTTGTAGGGTATGGCTAAACTTCAGTAACAAAATCCGAACACGTAATGAAGTAATTCACCCCCTTTAACCTAGTATTCTGACAGAATAGCGCCCATCTCAATTTCGCTTCACATCAACAGTGCTTCGAAGAGATTTTCAACCTAAATAAGTAAACGACGTTAAGTAATAGGAGAGTGCTAGACACTAGTATCTCCCTACTTAAAAAAGTACTTTCTACAGATAAATCGTAGTGATTTTCACTACCAGATACATGAAGCATTTATTCAGTTTGACAATTTCCCATCTAATGTTAGGGTACCCATTAATATGCTTGTTTCGCCTATGTACACATAATACAGCTAATCTCTATAACTCAAGAAGGCCAAAAACAAGATTTTCCCGTTCAACACTGGCTTCGGTGAAATAAACACGAACAAATGTCAATTAACTGATTTAGAAGCTTTCTTTATTTACAAATGACCAGCACAAAACAAAGTCCCTCGTATAAACTACCACGTATTATTATCTAGATCTAAACTGGTAGCTATAAATATAGATCCTTGTACAGTTGTTGGTGCTTCCTTCCAAAAACAAGTTCCTACAAGTGCAATTTAGTGACCTTGAAGAGAAGCTAAAAACCATATACTGTCCATGAGCTCATGAACAGAATACTTCTACATATACCAGTATTCGTAAAAGTATGAATATCACTTTGCAGAGAAACAAAACCATAGGAAAATATTATTCATCTGATAAATTCTATAAAAACGACCTACTTACAGGAACCGCTGCCTTCCAATCTTCCATCAGTGAACTCCGAACAGCTGCTAAATTGCCACCACATTTCTGTCCAATTTCTTCGAGGTTCACAGACGACAATAAATCAACGATTGGGTAAAGGGATTGTACGGAAGGTTTCGGTAGAGGGGAAATGTCAAGTACTACTAATTTATCATATTTTTCTGGCTAACAAATATTTTTTTTATAAGTAACTACCGTCATTAGGGATGCACACATTACAGCTTTGCCACCCATACTGTGCCCCAACAAGCAAACCTGCTGAAGCTTAAGGTCATTTACAACGTTTGATATGTCCTTAGCCATATGTAAATAGCTCATACTATCGGAATGTGGACTATTTCCATGATTGCGTAAATCAACAGCCACGACCTGTGACTCAGCTGTTAGAAAATATTAACCTACAGTTCCACACTTCTTTTGAGCTAACGCATGAGAAACACTTTTCCAATTCTGTTTAGACCCCAGTAATCCATGACAGATCAACACACTGGAATTGACTGTGGGGTCCGAACATCTTACGACCAGATTAGATAAACGTAGCGCATTACTCATATCGCCTCCAAGGTTACAGTATGTGGTGACTTGCAAACTAGCGAACGCGGTATCTACATATATCTCCCATGCATTTTTGAGATAAGGAATGCTACATACCAGTTATATTTTTGGAGGGGTTAAAGTGTCATAGCCAAAGACAAGATCTTTCAAAAAATCACCTTCAAGAACTGATCAGACACAGGAAATGCTATAGAATATCATTCCAAATCAAATCATGCCTACCTCTTTGAACCTGGAGAAGATGAATACAGTATTCTGCTTATTCACAAAGTACATCTGTAAATCTATACTGTTAAGTAGGATTATGCTTTTAAGTATAAGGTTTAGGGTCTAGTGTTATGTGTAGATTTAGGGTTAGGTAAGTATTAGGGGTTAAGATTATGACTGAAGTTACGAGCAGGTTAAACAATAGTAGAGGAAATACCAGGGGATCTCGAAGTACCATGACCTGCAGTCACCTAGATGAATGGTATGATTTCTTCATAGATCATCCGTGTAGTGACTGGGAAACATTCTTGCGACACATTAGCTGCAACTACATAGTGTAGTGTCAAGATTGCAGTATTTTAACATATATTTTGGCGATTACGCAACCAGCTTGCTCCCAAATTCTTACTGGTAGTTCAAGGTCACTGTGGTGTTGGCTATAATAGTTTAACTTCGCCATGATTGTTCACACAAACATAATTGTGATGAGTCAATCCATTCCATTCTGATCCTGATTCATATTTATCATGTGACATGTGCTAATCCTCACAATATATATCTCAATCATTACCTCATCTCTTGTTGGAAGAGACTTCAGATTTAGGCGAAGCCATTTGACTGGGTAGCGAGTTTCAATCGTTGACCACCATGTGTGTGAATCTAATGTCATCCTCATTTTGCTTGATCACAGTTTGGGAACGTTCTCACGATGACTACTCCAAGATGGGTTAGTGACAAATTTCCATTTAATATGCGATAGCCGAAAATTAAATCACATCTCCTCCCCCAATGTGATAATGAGATCAGATTTCAATTTACGTGTCATCAGGAAAGTGTTATAAACCTACCTTTCGTATTCTATCATATGTTGTGATTTCTTCTTGAAATAAAGGCTAGCCGCCTGCATACAGCACTCCAGATAAGGGATCGTATATTTTAAGTGGAGTGCATCAGACCAGGTCAAACCTCTAAATGCCTTCCAAGTGCCCTCAGATTTGGAATACCTCAGATGTATTTGTATTGCAATATGCAGGTATTTTTAAAGTGTGGATGGCAATCTCCGAATGCTTTTATTTTGCTTAAAAACCACCATTTCTAATTCCTCGAAGTTATACGTCATAGAATACGTCTAATGTAGGTATATAAACACGCTCTTTCGGAAATCGATTGCTCTGTAGGTTAGTCACTTCAGTTAGCTTTTCTAATTCACCAGGTAGCAATGCAGCGTATACCTCTGCTTCACAACAAATAACATAAGGGAACAATAGTGAGGCAGCCTGGGCTTTCGAAAAATCAATGTCAAGATCCTTTGAACGAATAGAATAATTCATCCCTGATGACCTCTCGAGAGCTCTGAGTATATTCTACCAGGACTCAGAAATATGTTTAGATTCTGCCATTCCACTGCGAAAAATAAAAGTTTCCCTTCTGTTTTAACCAGAACTACGACCTAGTAAACTACGGGCGAATACTAACTAATGCACAGGCTAATCTGTTCTAATCGCATGTCAACAGCAGCAATAGCACCGCCCGGACATAAAGACAGAAGTAAAGACTGTAAGTTGGTAAGAGAGCTTTTACTGTCTCGAAACAAGAGTAAAAAAGATTGGTAGCGCTTCCGTCTATATATGTTTAAAATGACCATGGCAGCCACTAATGTCATTGATAAATCAAACAGTTAACAGCCAATAGAATTTCAAAGGTCATAAGTAGTTTGGGAGAATATTAGGTAGGTAGGTGAGTAGAGAGAAGTACAAACAAACGTGTAGGAGTGCCACCCGAAAATCAGTTAAATATATATCACCTACATATAAAGCCATTTATAAAACCAAAGGATAGCATGAAAATGAGGACACTCGACAAGTTCCCTGAAACACCACGACTTTGGTACACTATGGCCAATAATTAAAGCTCTCAGCTCCATCTATTAAGCGCGAGATTTGCGTATGAGAAGTGAAGAATGCATTGCACCAGTCAGCCCTGCCAGCGGTGCGCTCTCACAGAAATCCTAAAGAAGCGATTGAATCGCAAGAACCACAGCATTTCTCTCCCCATCGACATATGTAGGCTCCACAGAGGCTCCACAGACATATGCAAATTATTCAACGAAACACTTCCAGCTAACTGCCTTAAGCCTTCAATCCCACTACTTAGTATACACCCTACTAGTGTGACACAACTCTCCTCTTTATTCAAACCAAAACGAAAAGCACCGTTGGGTTCACTTATGCCAACATTAACCAAGCCATTAGAACTCTAAGAAGCACTATAAGTTTTGGCACTGACGATATAACATCGTATTTCTATAAATACGTTGGTCCTGACATTCCCATATTACTGCTAAAAATTTTCACAATATCCTTATAAAGTCGAAACTACCAGAAAAATGGAAAACAACATTCATTATATGTAAACACAAATGCGACTGGAAAACGGAAGTCGATAACTACAGGCCAATCAATATCATATCAATAGCATCTAGAATTATGGAGAGACTAATTAAAAATAACACCCTCAAACATAATTTTGGCTGCTATATTATAAGTCTGAACCAAAATGGATTCCTAAAATCCAGATCATATTTAACATGCCACCTAATTTAATTAATTAATTTTGTGACCAGCAGTCGTAACAGACAACAGCTAGTACTAGTACGGTCTCTTTCTACTGTGAATTTACTTAGATGGACGTTACGGATCTCAGTATCATAAATATTTATGAATTTAATCCGGCAGCCATGTTATAATGCCGCATGCAAAGAAATTCTAAGCAGACAGCTCACCAAAAAGTCCGAAGTGAAGACAAATTAAGGATGCCTGTTACCACAGACGTTTTCCCCGGCCGTGGTGAAGTGGAATATGCAGCAGTCCGTGAGTGGTGTAAGATGAGCATACGTCGGACTGAACAAAAGACACTGGAGCCTCTGGTTCTTGCAGGTTTTTCATGTCTTATGTGTGCAGGCTGAGAGATATACGAGGGGAAACCGACTACTTGGTTGAAAAGGTAGCGAATGAAGGAATCCAGGTAGACACACCAAAGGTAGGGGTGATGAAGGAAAACAAGAAACAATCACTAATCACCGAGAATGAGGGAATTCTGAAGAAAGTCATCGCTATCACTTGTCTGGACAGCAGCGTGTCAACCATAATAATTAAGGACTGCGATATCAAAAACTGTGTCAAATCGGAAAAGCATGACAGGAGTACACTACCCGAAAATTACTGGAGAGATTTACGACAAATATTTAGGAGGGAATGGATTTTGACTGAAAAGACAGGGAGGAGACCATTGAGTGATATCACACGCCACGCTTTTGAGTGGAAATTTAACAGGAGGAAATGAAATTGGGCTGTGGGAGTGGCATGAGAATTTTAAACGTAAAGTAACCTGTCGTGCTACTGAACAACGAAAAGCTAAATCAAAAAGCAAAAGGTTCCCAACAATAAAGCTGGACAAATGTACATAGTACGCGCTACATAACAGGACGTGTTCAGCTCACTGACATCATTGAGTACACAAGGATTAATAGAGATATTTTCAACATAGTGGGATCCAGTTTCTAATTTCAGTAATCGAGCAATGCAACGAATGCCGTAAGACAAGGAGTAACTAGACACAAAAACCTTTTATGTGTACGCAAAATATAAGAAGTGGCTTGCGATTCTTGGGGAGATATCAACTAGTCAAAATGGGGTGGGTAATTTTCTGGTATGTACCTCCAGGCAATAAATAAAAATGGAAATCAGCTCCATTTAATGCAAGCCATTTGATAAGATATAGTTCGTAGTCTGCAGTCCTTGAAGTACCTTCATCTTTGGTAGCAAGTTTTGTATACTCAGTTAGCCATCTTCACACTGTCGTTTGGAAACATTAAAATGTCCATCAAAGGAGTGGAATGAAATTACCGAGACATCACTGTGATTATCGTCATATTTTCTATTTTCCACATACTTTGATCCGCTTGTGAAGTATTGTATTCTATACCAAGGTCAATCCTTTCCTATCATCCTGGCACAGTTAGGTATCAGGAGTACCACAGAGTTCTATCCCCAGGCCCTTCTGGTTTCTGATTTTTATCAATCACCTGCAATATCATTTAAAGTGTTAGACACTTATTAACACCGACGATGTGAAGATTTGGAGAGCAACTAAATGCTGAGAATACTCAGAATCGTTCTTGGTGGACCTGATATTCTGGAAGCCCGAGCGCTCGTCATTGGTATGGCTTTCAGGCTGAAGAAATGCAAATTAGTGCGACTAGATATCTGTGGGCTTCAGAACACAAGTTATTCCCTGTGCAATGTCAGAATCCCTCCTGGGTCTAGTTCTAACGGTAAAAAAATGAACACAGGCGTGACTTGCCTGGATGATGCAGTGAGAACATCTGCAGTTATACACTCTATGTACAGAAAGGTGCACTCACTCTTAATCACTTAATTTGTAAGTTTGAGATATAATTTCCTTTTGGTTATTAAGTTTTTTCAGGCCTCCATTATGTACACTAATTATAATTATTACATTACTATTCACAATTATCGTTGCTAACTCTCTTTTTGACCTAGCCGCATGACTAACGGGTGAAATGATCAACTCCGTTTACAGCTGCCACATGGCCTTATTATACCGCATACTAGAAACAACACATGACCAATCCCCGCAAAACTCCCTCTGGAGTCACCCAAAGTTACGACAGTCGATTGGCAGGACAGACTGACCAGAAGTATAACGAAGGCTTAGGATCTTCAACTTACAACGAAAAAGTAAGAAGAAATAGATCAATTGGGTTTAGATTTGCTTGTAAAAATGATAC